GAACTTGTTGCCATGAGATGTTGTGAAGGCCAAAAGCATAACTAGTGTATGAATTAGATAATTCACGGAGGATAGATCCATCAGTGGTATCCTCCAAGATGGTCAGGGATGCAGCCCCATGATCTGGGTGTCCAGAAGCTGTGGGACTGGATGACGGGGACAGATCACCCAAAATTGCCCTGTTCAGTTCATTCCATCTGATGCGTCTGGCAGCGGCCACTGTCAGAGACTGGATATTGGGCTAGATGGGCCCTGTATGGCCATTGTTATGGGCCCATTTTTGACCACAAAAATCTCTTAGAATCATAGAAGGTTAGGGTTGGAAGGGACCTCAGGAGGTCCTCTCGTCCAACCCCCTGCTTGAAGCAGGACCAATCCCCAATTTTTGCCCCAGATCCCTAAATGGCCCCCTCAAGAATTGAACTTACAACCTTGGGTTTAGCAGGCCAATGCGCAAACCACCGAGCTAGCCCTCCCCCCTCTTCTTCCAGTTAGGCAAAATGTGCCACTGCAGCTAAAGCACCAAGTCAAGAGTCTGCATGAAAAGTATCTGCCCCGAAAGCAGCTTAACTGGGTCTGGTTTTTAGTCTGGTTCCATTGTTATTTTTCTCATTGTCCTATTTATTACAAAATAATAAATGCAAAACCTTTGTGAGTGAGATATTACACGAAACCTCACAGGCAGGACTAACTTGTCAATAGAGCTGGAAGGAAAAATCTTTCATGAAGAAAAGTGGTTTTTCAAACAATACACTACATCTGCAGAAAATGTTCATATTGTTTGAAATGTTTTGCCAAAACAAAGGGAAAGGGGATTTATTTTAAATGGAAAAACTTCTGACTTCCAGGCTTTTTCCTTTCTTTCTTTCCCCTTTCCATTCCCTCCCCTCTCTGTGGAAAAGAAAAAGGGAATGGTGGGGAGAAAGGATCCCCCCCCCCCCGATTCAATGAAAAATCGTACTTCTGAGAAAATTCTGGGGGGTTTCTCTTGAAATTTTTCACTGAAAATTTACCTTCCCTCCCCTCCAACCTTGCTGATTAATATTACACACTCGGGTTTGGGTACCATATGGGGTGGGGAGGATGCAAGTGCGTCCCAGGAGGAGTTTATAGGGTTGGCCTTCTATAGAGGTGCACACCATCTCTTGGAGTGTGGTGTTGGATGAGAACATTTAAGTTAGAGCCACTATTCAAGGTGGCCAGCAGGGGGTATGTAGCCAGGAGATAAGGGGGGGATGCAAAATGGAAATACAGGCAGACAGTCATGAATTTACCCAGAGTCTGGTGGCCTGGTCTCTCTCTGTGGAACAAGCACTGAAGGGATGCATCTGGTGCCCCATGCACTCTGCCTCTTCCACTCTTGGTCACTCAATTTGGGCAGAGCTGGGTCCTTTGCTAGTGCTAGCATGTTACACTTCCTGAATTCCCTCACTGTTCCCATCCCCAGGAGGGGGATCCAATATGTACATGGTCTCTGGGCCCTCACTTCCCCATTAGTGGTCAGCTTAGGTCAGGGGACAGACTGAACCTAGCGCGAGCTGTGCCCGTCCCTGTGTGGACACAGGCTAGGCAAGTGGCTCCTTGCTTACTGTCACGGAAGAGCTCATTAAACCTATGGATTGTGCACACAGCTTTGTCTAGCCAGAACCAGGCTCATACTATCATCCCTTCATAGGATATCAGGGTTGGAAGGGACCTCAGGAGGTCATCTAGTCCAACCCCCTGCTCAAAGCAGGACCAATCCCCAATTTTTGCCCCAGATCCCTAACTGGCCCCCTCAAGGATTGAACTCACAACCCTGGGTGTAGCAGGCCAATGCTCAAACGACTGAGCTATCCCTCCCCCCCTTGTTCTCACCACCCTGCTAGTCTGTTTCTTTCTGTGCTAAATGACTGAGGTTTAAACTCTGATGGAGCAGAATTAATAACAACACCTGGCTCTTACACAGAGCTTTTCATCAGTAGATCTCCAAGCACTTTACAAAGGAGTATCATTATCCCCACTTTACAGATGAGGAAACTGAGGCACGGGGGGACGTGATTTGCCCAGGGTCACCCAGCAGGCCAGCGGAATAGAACCCAGCAGCCAAGCTGGCCCAGGTGTCCTGAGTGCCAGCACTGGGTTCTGTCCACTAGGCCAATTAAGAGTTGACTAAAGATCAGAGAATGGTGCAACCCCCAAAAAATCTGGCCATTTTCTTATGGAAATAACAGTAGGGGTTAAGCTTACTAGCACCAAGTGACATGCTGAATATTTTAAAGGCCCCCTTCTAAGAGAGAGATGGTGGATGTAAATAAGTACTCCTTTTCTTTTTGCGAATACAGACTAACACGGCTGTTCCTCTGAAACCTGTAAATATTACTGTTCACGTTCCAAGGCATGAGAGACGGCTCCTGCCTCCTGGTTTTCTGTATGTATTTCTCATTCTGTATTTTACATGAATTGCAGAAGTATTCCCCTCCCCTCCCTTGCACTCTGACAGGAGCACTTCTAAAGAACCCAGAAAGCCAAACACCAGCCCACCTGACAGCAGAGCAGGGAAACTCTGACAAAATCTTGGTCCAGTGTGACAGGGCATCTGGGAGGAAACAGCAAAGCTACCCCTGCTAACTCTCATTACTTAAGCTACACTTAGGCCATGTCCACATTAGAAAGCTTGCACCGGTCTGACTAAAATCAATCTGGTTACCTCACAAGAAACCCAAATGCAGATGCACTTGAACCCATACAGAATGATTTTAGCTATACCAGCCACACTAATGCAGCAAGTTTTCTAATACAGACAAAAGCCTAAAAAGAAAGAGGGGTTAGATGCCGGGAGAAACTACAGAGCTGCCTCAGGCTTTACAGAAAGTCTCTGCAACTGGCTTAGCTCACTAATTTAGGGAGCGGGTTAGGGAAGAGTGGCAGTGTTGGGGGAACTGTCCCTGAACGGACAAGCACCCCAAACAGAAGGAAAGGGGCTGCAGGTTGATTCCTGAGATGAGACGCGTGGACAGATTCCATAAGAGAGCAAGCAGAGACCATGGCCGGACTGAAGCCAGGCTGAGCAGCCTCAGAGACTAGGGAGAAAAGAAGGCCAGCTGATGACCCCTTCCTCCACTGCACAATCCTGTGTGTTAACAATAATGACTTGGAGTGTTTTCTGACACACGCCTGTCAACAGACCCTGACAGACAGGCTCAGCTGCAGCTCTGACTCAGCTAAACCCTTAGCCCTGAGGCTGCTGTCATTTGATTCCTGTTAGAGAAATGCGCCTGCCTACACACTGAAGTTAAGAGGATTAATTCATAGGTTTGCAGGGGTTTAAGGCTAGAAGAGACCCTTAGATCCTATCACAGGCCATTAAACCTCACCCACTTACCACTGTACAGAGCCCAGTAATTTGGGCTGGACCAACCCTGCACTACTCTTTCTGCATGCAGGATGTTTGTTTGTCTTAAATTCAATCACCATTGATCCGATCATTCAGCTGCTGAAGGAACAGACTGCATTCAAGCCCCTGAGCAGGGATGCTGCAGCTTGAAGGGTCTGAACAAGTGTTTTACGGCTTTTGATGAAAGCCTGTGAGAAATGGAGTGGGTGGCTATCCTGGAATGCAATGTGGTGAGTGGAGGTTTCAACCACTTCACTGTGGTGATGTGAGGGTGTTGCGGGGAGGGGGAGGTTTTCTTACTGCTGACCTGGTAACGATAAAAGAGAATTGGATTTTACCTACTCGGAGAGTTGGCTCTTTTGTCTTTAAAGAACACCAGTAAAAATGGGCTCTTGGGATGACGCTGGCTCTGAACGGTTTCTTTAAGATGCCATTTCATGTAAAAGCCCATTTGTACCTAGGGCCAAGCCTTTGAAAATAGGAGCCTAAACTCCTAAAATCCATCTTTAGGCACCTGCCCGATGTTTGAAAGCGCTGAGCACCCAGCCACTCCCATGGTGGCTCCGCACTGTAGAAATCCTGGACCCTGGATTGAGATGCCTCAGGACAGGCATGGGAGGCTAATTTTAGGTGCCTATTTTTGAACATTTTAGCTGAGGTGGTTTAGGTCATCTTTAGGTTCAGCGAGAGTTTAAAATGATGGCAGGGAGGTGCCTAACTCTCATGGACTTTCGCTGGGAGTCAGGCACCTGTCTGCAATTGGTGCCTTTGGAAATCTTCCTCCTTAAACTACAGGGACAGAAGTCTCATAGGAAGTGCTGATGCTGAGTGTCCACAAATGGTCATTGCTAAAGCTTACTTTAACTAAAGATCGGCTTGGGATCTGAGGGTCTAAATGGGAAGGGGACATTTCAAGGCTTAAAGACATTCTTGGATGATATTGTGCCAATGTAGGGCCTGATCCATTCTCACTAAAGCCACTGGAAGTAGGACTGGGCCCTTATTCTTGAAAGAAAATGCCTAACCCAAATGAGTTATAGCTATAGTCTCTCTTTATTGCAGGATTATCTTGGGACTCCTGAGGTTTTAGTCTCCTCTGTGCTGGATCCCTGCATTCTGATAAACCCTTCCTAGTCATTCTTTCAAGCCCTGCTGGGAGGGGCAAGCCCCCCCCTCCCCCAACACCCAAACTCTGGCCTCAACTCTGGGAAGCTGAAAGAAGGAAGCTGCCTTTCTCCAGGGTAAACCCAGCTCCTGGTCAAGCAGTGCTTTGGGGCTCAATGGAGTTTTTTGCCTCTTTCAACCCTAGGGTCCTTGAGACAGGCCCTGGGTCTCCTCTGTGCAGTGCTCAGCATTCAACTGACCGTAGGCAATGAATAATCCAAAAGAGCTTCCCCCTGAAATTAACCAAAGATGCACTGCCATCTCAGTCAGGCACAGTGGTGGCCGGTTACACACACCTTGACCTACAGTGCCTACACTGATAACATACCCAAAAGTGCTTTCAAATGGCTTTAAACATTAAATGTGTGCAAGCCACACCACTTTCTCAGCTGTTGCAGGTTTGGTTTTCCCATCCTCCCACCCTCTGCTCTTACAGGGTATTGAGAGAAGAAGAGCTCACCTTTTTAAACATTGTTTTTCTTCTAGGTGGGCGGGGGGGGGAGTCTTCAATCCATTGAAAGTTTGAAACAATGCTGGCTGGGAAGCAGCTGTCGCAGCTGGGTTGTGCAGGTGCTCAAACAAGTTAAATCCAGGCAAACTAGAAAGTAAAAGGTGCCCCTCTTGAACCTCCCCACAGAGAGCCAGGTACTTTCACCAGCACGCTGGTTGCTCCTAAAGATCAACACAGGAACACAACAGTGCTTGGTAAAGTTTAAGGTCCACTGATTCTGCAGCTAGTTGATTTGCCTTTAGGAATGCAGAGCCATAAAACCTGTAATCAAGGTGATTTGAGTGGAGCTGGCCTCTTGTGTCGAAGGGCGGGGCCCTGCGCACTCCAGTGAAATGCTAAGGAGAGTGATTCTGCTGTCCCTGGTTCCCTTCCTTTCTACAGTTTCATAATCCTGTTCCTTTCTGTCTTTCTGCTAGGTCCTGCAAACGTTGTGTCCGCCCCTAGATTTCTTGTTTCCATTGTGATTCATGACCATGTAGCATGTCACATCCTGTTTATACTAAAGAATGACTCACTAGTTGAGGGCAGCAGCACTGGGAATTCAGGAAGTTGTTAATATTCCTAAAAATCTCTGGGCCTGATCCTTGGACCTGCTGAGCTGTGCTCAGTGCAAGGTGGGGGAGAGGGAAGTGTTACATTCTCAGCTTCAGAAATGCTGGAACAGGTCCCCTTGGTCCACTCCAGAGCCTGAGATCACTATAACACCTGTATTCTCGCCACCCCAGGCATAGGTGCTGGAACTAGGGATACGGGGGGTGCTGCAGCACCCCCTGGCTTGAAGTGGTTTCCATCATATACAGGGCTTACAATTTGGTTCAAAGACTCTCAGCACCCCCACTATATAAATTATTCCAGCACCTCCGCGCCTGGGAGGGCCAGGATGCTCTGTTCGTGGCCTTGTGCCAGGAGATGAGCTCAGATTACTTTGTTTGGGCCGATTTGCAGAGCACTTCAAATTTGCAGGGATGTATTTTCTGCTTGCTACGCAGTTGTGAATAGCAAATCCACTCTCGCAAAGAACCAGAGAGGGTGGAAGGGAGGTGGAGACAGACTCTAAAACTTGGACTTTCTTGCTTCCTTTTTAATTAAAGGAATAACTAGTTACTCCAGGCAACTGGAGCCTGCTTGTTCATAGAGAAAGAAGGCTCTTGTCTCTCTCAGGAACCGTAATATAGCAATATTGAGGAAACCACTGCCCATTAATGTAATGGTACATCCTGCATCGAGAATGAGAAGAGACAGCAAGGATTGCAGCGGGTGTAAACAAGCATCTGCCAGTTTGGACAACTCTTGCAATTTTAGCACAGGTCTCATGATGACGTTTGGTGTCTTGCCTTAAACCCTCACCTCTCGGAATCATGTAATAACGTGATCATCTGATTGATTTTGTTTCTAAGTAAGTTTCTCACCCTTGTGGTTATGGATAAAAATTTGAAAACATGAGCCCTAAGACCTGGAGGAAAAACAAATTAAAATCTCAACATTTTAAAGCCAATCTCGTGATTTGGGGGGGGGGCTGATTCGTTGGATCTCTGATATAGCGAAAGAAATGCAGAGAAATGCCATTGTGGGTGCTGAAGGATTACACCAATGTAATTCAGAGATGGTCTGTATACCAACTTGCACCAATATAACTAAATGTCTTTCCCATAACAGAGTGGGTTATTTTGACACAAATCATTGATTCAGAAATAAGAGTGGCCAGGCAAAGTGACTAATGTCAAATTTTTACCAACTTAGCTAAAGTGATTTAGCTCTTTTTATTTTTTTCTAACAAGTGTGTCTACACCCAGTTTGGTCCCAAAAATAACTGAACTGGCTCAAATTAATATTGTTTTGATGTGAGTCTGTGCATAGATGGGCCCTGAGAGCCGACTCTGACCCCTCTGCATAGAAGAGACACCACTGCAGCCTGGTGGCTTGAGGCAATGAAAGCGCTGCACCTCCAAGTGGAAACGGGAGCCCAAATTGTGGGCACACTGGGGCACTTTCACAGCCCTCGGGCTTTCAGTTCGGACCATCGGTTTCAGAACTTAAAGATGCCACCCCCCTGCATCAACAGGTGGGGGAATTTGATGGGGCCAGCAGTGAAAGGAGGAAAGTGCGTTAGGAGAGAGAGAGAGAGCCTGGAGCACTGGGCCTGGTGCAGGACCTGAGGCCTGAACGAGAGGCTGTGAACCAAAGTCAGGCCGTGTATTAAAGTGGATACTCACAAGTTCAATGTTTTGTACGTGAACTTGGCAAAGTTGCTGCCAGTGTTGCTAAAACACAGGCAGTCCAAAGAAGTACGAGGCCCTAGATATTTACATAAATACATTCCAGAAGGCTAGTACAGATACACCCCAATCTAGCGCAAGATAAGATGATTTGAGAGAACAATGAAAGGACATGTTTTGTCTGAAATATCAGGAACAAGGAGAGGTAACAAACAGATGTCATGAAACACGCAAGATGGTATGAAAGTTGTTTAGCCTGGTTGTTTCTCAGTCTAAATGTTGGGGTACCCCACTCTAACCCTTTGTGTGGCCGAAGGGACAGCAGAGATTCCCGCTGCTAACTGAGCTGCTCCTTGCCACAAGACACTCGTGTTAATGTACTTGTGCAAGTCATTAGGATTGTGTCTTGAGGGCAATAAACCTGGTTGAGTGCCTTTGTCACTGAACCATGCCTGTGGTCTTTCTCTAGGAGTAACATCAAGGTCTGCTGAATTAGCAGGCTGTGTTCTCTGCTCGTGCTGATAACACTGAGCACCCAGGAGAGGAGCGCTGAGGGGCTGTAACAGCTTAGCAGCCTTGACACCATGCAGCAGCAACATTATTCCACCCTTCTAGAAATCCCTGTGGCAAAAGAAAGCAGACACTTGCCAAGTCATAATAGGTAGCACCTCCCACTGGGAGTCTCTGGCATTCATTGGCCAGCTGCGGCCAGGGTACTGATTGGCCAGCATTCCCCAGCTCCCAGGATTTAACTCTGAGCAGGGGCCATATGGAGCCTCTTTCAGCTCCGTTCCAGCAGCCATCCTACCCACACAAATGAGGACTGGGAACCTGGCCTGACAGATGCTGCAGGTCTAGCTGATTGCTTCTGTAGGGGGTCAGGAAGGAATTTTTTCTCCCATGGACCCACTGGCAAAGGACTAGGGAGTTTCTTCCCTTCCTCACAGCCCCTTCAAGCCACAGTGAGGTAAGTAGGAATGTGCCTAGTATCTAACTGAGGTACTGGGATGGAGGAGTTTCTTCATTGCAACTTGTGGCTGATTTCCAGTGTGGTTAGGAGAAACCAATGAACAGTTCCCAGAGGTAAAAGGCCTGGGATTTTCATGAGGAGGCCTTGAGTTCAAGTGTTAGGGTGAGACCTTGTGACCTTTGTAGGCCAAGGTCAGACCTTGTGGCCCTTGCAAGCCAAGGTCCCCACCCTGCTGCACCCTCTGTCCCCCTCATGGTGGGAGGTGGTGCTAGGACATGGAGAGAGCTGAGTTCTGGCGGGTAGGCTGAGGAGAGCCTGTATAACCCATCATGTGGGGTAGGAAGGAGCCCTGTAACCCTGGCACTAGTTATGGGTTATATGGTAGAAGCACTGGAACTCCCAAACTCCCCTATTGCTTTCCAGGTTAGTATTGTCTAGTGATAGGCCTGAACCAAACTATAGTGGAGTTTCGTATTTGAATTTCACAGCTGGTGTTTTTTTCCTTTATGGGCTGAGCCAAATCTGACAGCTCTCATACTTCAGGGGCAGGAGGACCTGAAATCCAGATTTGGATCCAAAACCAAGTTTTGGCAGTGATGGTGTGGGAACATACTGCTTTCTGAAACTTGTACTCATCACTGTGAGGAGGCTGATTTAGCACCATAAAGTATGGATGCTTGCCCAACATTTATGCCAGCCATATTTTGTGACTTTTGCCAAATCGTACAAGAATGAATGTGAGAGAGAAGACAGAGTGGGAGCCTTGTTCTCCCATAATGCAATAACAAGGGAATATTCAGTGAAAACCGAAGGTAGCAAATTCAAAACCAATAAAAGGAAACATTTTTTCTATTCAGTGTGTCATTGGACACTGGAACTCATTGCCCCATGATGCTGCTGCTGTGGCCAAGAATTTAGTAAGATTAAAAGAGGGATAGAATATAATAAGAATCTCCAGAGTTATAACAGTTAATGCAAATAAAGCTTTGGATGAGATGCTTCAGATTTTAAACCATTCTGTAACCTATGGTATAGAATAAGACCTTCCTGGGATCAGTTTATAACACAGCTTCCTATTTTGGGGTTCTTGCACTTCCTCTGAGATGTCTGGAGCTAGCCACTGTCAGAGACATGTTATTGGACTGAATGATCCATTCTGGCAATCCCTATGTTCCTAGAACAGATTGGGCCAGATATTCTACAGCTTCTCTTGCTAGTTTATTGACATTTTTCTTCTAGTCTTATCTGGAACCCAAAAGCAGGAGGGGACTGAAAAAGTGCGGGGGAGGGAAGGACTTTCGAACATAAAAAGGGCTCCAAAAGCAAAATAAAAATCAGCCCAGTGTAAATAGGAATCCAAGCTGAACAAGACATGGAGTCTTCATTATGTGCATCAATTTGACATGTTTCAGAGCAGGGGCTTGAAAGTCTCAGGTTATAATAAGAATCATCCTTTGAGAAGAATTTCCACCTGTGTTTAAAAAAAAAAAAACACTGCGTAGACTGCTACCAAACTTTACAGAAGTAGATATGAAATGCATCTCCACAATCCAGGTTGCTTAAAAGGCACGTGGGATAGTTAATTGGAAAGAAAGCCTGGGGGGAAATATCTCCTTAATTTAAAAGATGGGGCAGCTGTTTTAGAACCAGGTGCAAAGCATATATATCCACTACCTCTAAGACAGGGGTGGGCAAACTATGGCCCGTGAGCCGTTTTAAGCCAGCCCGTGAGCTGCACCACGCGGCTTGGCCCCACTCCAGTGCTCCAGCTGGGGCGCTGGGTCGGGGCCGCACCACATGACTCCCAGAAGCCGCGACATGGCCTCGCTCCAGCTCCTACGTGGAGCTGCAGAGGTGGTGCCTGCGGATGGGGCAGTGTGCAGGGCCACCTGGCCGCACCGCTGCATAGGAGCCGGAGAAGGGACATGCCGGTGCTTCCGGGAACCACTTGAGGTAAGCACTGCTTGGAGCCTGCATCCCCTGAGCCTCTCCCCATGCCCCAACCCCCCTCCCACTCTCCAAACTCCCTTGATCCCAGCCCAGAGCACCCTCCTGCACCCCAAACCTCTCATCCCCAGCCCCACCCCCACCCCAGAGCCCACACCCCCAGCCGGAAACTGCACCCCTTCCCGCACCTCTACCCCAGCCCTGATCCCCCTCCTGCCCTCCAAACCCCTCAGTCCCTGCCCAGAGCTCCCTCCTATACCTCAAATTCCCCATCCCCACCACAAAGCCCGC